AGTATCATCACAAGGGAGGGGCAAGGCCATTCATCCAACATGCTAGGAATGCTCACAAGGTAATGAAATTAAATCACATATAAAATTAAGTGTGTAGTTTCGATATGCTCATGTTTGTTATATTTTGTTTTGAATATGAGGAGTAGAAAGGAGAACCATTTTCTGTGATTGACAATTGGGGGGCTCTCCACAAAAACAAGAACGGCCAATGGATAAATGATATTGCTCAAGAGAAATATGTAAGTCACTTTTGTGTATGAATGTGGTATTTAGCAATTGATCAATATTGAATTCACTTTTGTGTATGATGTTCATTGCTATAAAAATGATGTTACAAGGTGACAAGTAAATATGACATAAACTAACATTATTATTGTTAATTATAAGTGATATCACTACTCTAAGAGCTATAAGGTATGACAAATTTTGACTTGAACTATGTTTACAATTTGGTTTCTTTTCAGCCATTGAGCAATTAACGCTCCATCTTTTCCCCTAGAAAGCAAAAGCACCAAAAGAAGTTGAATTCCTTACATATTATTATTGTTAATATATTACTTATTTAGCAATTGATGAATATTGAATTCACTATTTTAGTATTCTTGGTGTTATTTGTTATATAAGGATAAGATGAGAAAAAAGAAGGATGAAGTTATGGAGAAATTTATCCAAGAAGCACCAGATGGTACTCCACCAGATTCTCTACAACTTCCATTGGATGATGAGTTTGGCATCATGGCTGAGAACCTTGGGAGGAAGGGAAAATCTGTTAATGGTGTAGGTATTTTTCCTCGTATGGATGATGCGAAATAGATAAGCACACAAATTAAACCCTCTTTTTGTCAAATTGTAGTAAAGATGTAAGTAGGGATCGTTCTAGACCGGGGATTAGGAGGGATTGCTAAACACTTGGAAACTGACTTAAAAACTCAAAAACAAAGTTTAAAACACTAAACTCGACTCAAAGAATGCAAAACTAAAAGTTAAAACACTTAAACAAACCTAAAACCCAAAACAGCAACTAGAAGACTCAAAACTGCCTAAAAACCACTTTCTGGGCAGTTTTGAGCACCTACACTAATTTGGACGAAATTGGATGAAAACTTGAATCAAAATACTTAGAAACACAATCAAAACACTTTCTAACTAATCTAAGACTTCAAATTAAAGGGAGATTTGTTTTGGACGAAAATTTAACATAAAACAGAAACTTTAAACTAAACAGATTGTAGAATGTTTTTGGATAAAAAGGATGGATAAAAGGCTAGTTAGGAGGTTCTTCTCCACACATGTCACACTTGCAAACAAAACGATTTTCAGTTGTTCTTCCAATAAATTATAAATACTCAACGCCCCAAATTAACCGTGAATTGCACTAATTAACCCTCAGTTTTTCCACAAGTTATTAAGGTGGATGATTGCATACGACAACCCAAAACATTCCCTACAAGTTCCCTACATGAATTGCATAATAGAGATACAAGCAAGAATCATTAAGTTCTATGAAAAACATAAGCATTGACGAAGCATTCGTTACTATGAATTGCATGAAACTTATGCTAAGAATTCATTCAACGCGATCGTTTTCAAGCGACCTTCACTACTTGTGATTATAAGATTGTAACTATTAGGTGAAACTCCCTCATAATCTAGCATCATATTCATGCATGAAAACTAAGCGTGCACTCTCAATCAACATACACAAATAAGTTATCAATCAAATAGATGAACGAATTGAATCCACAACTTATGAAATAACAACTGAATGTAATCAAATCATATTGCAAGCATGTACATGGTTTCGAATTCCCCCCTAACCAAGGGGGTTTAGCCACTCATGATTACAACAAACTTAGAGAGTAATAACAAAGTAAACATTGAAAACAAGAATCGAAGTACACCTAAAAATTCCAACAACTCAATCTTGAATTGTATGAACGTTTAAGCCTCTTCTCCTCTAGTTGCTGCGGCACAAGGGGTTTTGGTGAGTTTTGGGGGTTATGGATGATGTAGAATGATGTGTTTAGGGTAGGGATGGATGTAGGGGAAGGCAATGAGTGTTTTTGGGCAGAAAATATGAAGAATGGTGAAGTATGGCTGTGTTAGAGAGAGGGAATGAATTTCTGGCGTGAATGAATGTGTATGAGAGGTGGTGATCTGATCTAGGGGTTAATATGAGTATATATAGGCACTTATAACCCTAGGGAAATCAGATATGGACTTGAATTAATTAATGGGAGAGCATGGGAGTGCATGTGGCTGATTTGTGGTGCAATGATGAAAAGGCAAAGTGCATGTGGCTGATTTGTGGTGCAATGATGAAAGGATGGAAGTGCATGTGGCTGCAATGGATTAAAGGATGGGAGTGCATGTGGCTGAAATGTAGCCTTCTAGAAATCAGGTTTTTAGGCCCCCTTGCAACTCCCTAACTGAATTCAAGCCTTTCAAATTCGTCCATCCTCATGCCACCATGCTTGCACTATCCAATCTTGGCCCAAAAATGCTCTAGAATGCTCCAAATTGCTTCTTTTTGCATACTTTGACACTAAAACCTGAAATTGCACGAAAATAACTTTAAACACTATAATTAACATAGTTTAGCTAATTAAATGCAAGAAAACAAGCTAACTAAGTCGTATAAATATGCTCCTATCAATGGATACATCTGATTCTGTTTCTTCAATGCCTTCAAGTTCTGAGTTAACAGAGATGAAAGATCAAATAAAGCTTCTATGAACTAGTTTCGTCAACTTGGAAAAGGAGCATAAAGAGTTGAAAAAGAAGAATGATATTCTCATATTACAAGTGAAAGCACTTTTAGCAAAAAAGTGTCAGGACATCAACAATTATATAGGTACTGATGATGATCTTTCAGATGTCAATGGTGCATATGCTGAAATGGAAGACCTTGGCATGGATGAAGACTAATTTATATTACAAAGTCTTTTATTGTTATCTAGTTTTAGTCATGCACATGGTAGAACTTTTTGGTTAGCTCCTTAGTGTGTTAGATTTCTCTTTTGTTAGCATCCCAACATGTATAAAGGAGTTGGTGCCCTTCATGATGAACTTACTGTTATCTAGCTTTAGTCATACACATGGTAGAACTTTTTTAGTTAGCTCCTCAATGTATAGAGAAGTTGGTGCCCTTCATGATGAACTGCCATTGAGCTGAGATAGGACACTAAGATTTAGATTTTTTTGGGATTTTTATGTGAGTATATGAAATGTACTTGATGTATGTGCCTAAGTAGTTTATTAATGAAAATGCAATTAATCGAAGCATTACCTTATATTTAACATGAATTGTAATTCTATTTTATAAACAGGGAATTGTAATTTCAGATTATAAACAAGGAATATGTATTGGTCTATCACATATATTTCCAAAATAGGTATTTTATTTTGACATAAATGACCCAGGCTACGTCACAAATGGAAGAAAAATGTGAAGCTTTCAACGTCACTTATCTATTTCATAAGTGACGAATTATATAGGTCACATAATTTACTCTTTTTTTTATAAACAATGAATTGTAATATCAGATTATAAACAGGGAATATGTATTGGTTTGTCACATATTTCCAAAATAGATATTTTATTTTGACATAAGTGACCCAGGCTATGCCACAAATGGAAGAAAAATGTGACGCTTTCAGCGTCACTTATCTATTTCATACGTGACGAATTATATAGGTCACATAATTTATTCTTTTTTATAAACAAGGAATTGTAATATTAGATTATAAATATGAAATTGTATTGGTTTGTCATATATATTTCCAAAAATAGATAGTTTATTTTGACATAAGTGACCCAAGCTATGCCACAAATGGAAGAAAAATGGGACGCTTTCAACGTCACTTATCTATTTCATACGTGACGAATTATGTAGGTCACATAATTTATTCTTTTGTGACGCCTTATCTGTCACAATCTCCTATTTTCATAAATTTAAACCAGTATTAAGTGACGAAAGCAGTGTCACATATACTAAAAATATGTGGCGCTTTTAAAATTCGTCACTTATACTTTCCGTGATGTGTCATAGGTGACGCTCGCAGTGACGCTGTAAAAGCGTCACATATTATCAAATGTGACGCATTTTTATTTTCTGTGACGAATATCTGTCGTCACATAAGCCCTGTTTTCTTGTAGTAAGAATCAAACCCAAATCATCTCTATTACAATGAACAAGAATATTACTAAATCGCAATACTATGTGGCAGAGAATAAACAAATATTTATATTGTAAAAGACATTTATTACCAATGAATAGATAAATAGGTTTCCCACATAAGTATTTTCCATTTATTTATTGGTATATTTTCTAGTTTTGGTTTGTGCTTTTACTTTTGTACACACAAATAGTACAGCACTAATCTTCTATGTCACCTAGTTTTTTTTTTTATAGCATTGTGAGATTGGAAAAAAAGAGTTTGGGTTTTATGTTTGTTTAATTAAAGGGTTTTCAGCATTTTCTTATTAGACAGTACCTCCCCTAATAGCTCAGGAAAGGGTTTCATCTTTGAAAACATTAAAACCTCAAATGATACTTAATTTGCTCGACATTTTTAATTTAAAATAGAAAAACATCTGAATTTTTTATTCATTTATGCCAGCACATTTTATATTAAATTTATTTAAATTATGTGGTTGGTGAGTCGAATTTGAGTGGTACCAACTTGATTAAGAGTTATTTTTTTATTGATACAATGATATTGGGGGAAGAGGGGAAGGGGAGGGACAAACAGTGACCAACAATAATTTAGTGTCAAATTTATCATTCACAAAAGTCGAACATAAAATCTTATATTTACAAATCGAAAGAAATATTAATACATTACCCCTTGAAACCATTCTAACTTTTAGTATAAATACTATCCAACCACGACTTAGTTCCCTCCACCACTCTCAATCCAAGAAAGCATCTGAACTTTACTCAGACCAATATATATATATATCTCACACGCACACTCTATAATTCTGAGTTTTACAAATGGAGTCGAAGACCATTCAAGGATATCTTAAGAAAAAGACCATTTTGGTTACTGGAGCAACAGGCTTCCTTGCGATGGGTATACTGTCCCCTCTCTCTCTCTCTCTCTCTCTCTCTCTCTCTCTCTCTCTGTAACTTTATTTGAAATCGGCATGCAGTATTTTTGGAGAAAATACTAAGGGTTCAACCAGATGTGAAAAAGGTGTATCTTCTTCTAAGAGCTCCGGATATCAACTCAGCCACGGATCGCATGCATAATGAGGTTTACCTAAATATACAATTTACAACTACCATATAGATTCTATAACTCATATAATAGATTTCTTTTCAATTCTGACGTACACTTTATTTTAATGTGTTGATATATTAAGATCATAGGAAAGGAGTTGTTCAAGGTTCTCAGGGATAAAATGGGTGCATATTTTGATTCCTTTATATCGGAAAAAGTTGTGGCTTTCCCAGGAGATGTAAGTTCTGAAAACCTTGGAGTGAAAGATTCCAAATTTAGGGAAGAAATGTTCAATGAAATACAAATCATTCTCAGCTCTGCAGCAACGACCAAATTTGATGAAAGGTAGAGCATTCACCATCCAATTGAGGTCATGTGTTCCCATCCCAATATGCAATTTCTACATGGTCATGTGATTGCTAAGTCAAGAAAATAAATAGAACGTTGGACTTTTGTCTTTGAATTGCAACTTTTAATGAACTACAGGGTAAACTCGTAGCAAGTTAACTACATGCCAAATGGAAATTTGGCTATATATATTATATAGACACACACACAAAAAAAAAATTATATATATATATATATATGCACAGTACATTGTGTGATATTTGTGTGCAGGTATGATATTGCGCTGGACGTGAATACATTTGGAGTTCTTCATGTGTTGAGTTTTGCGAAGAAATGTTCAAAACTGGAGATGCTTCTCCATGTATCAACCGGTCAGGACTCAGTTTTCTGTTGTTTGTTTGTTCTTTTGTATAGCCTTTCCTTTATTTGTTTATCCCATATTGTTTTTTATTTTGAACATAATAATTTTTTTTAAGTCTTACTCCTTTAATGGATATATATAGTTTTTGCTTAAGTAATAGTGATTAAATGGGGAACTTTTTCCAGCTTATGTGTGTGGTGAAAGGGCAGGACTCATAGCAGAGGACTTGTCGTCTTCATTAATGGATGATATAATAAACAATAATTTCGAATTACGTGAAAAGAAGGTGTTGGAGGAGAAATTGAATGAAGTAAAAGCACAAGGTGCTTCTGAAGAAATTATTACACGCACCATGAAGGATTTGGGCATTGAAAGGTTTTTAGGGCATCATTATCTAATCTAATTGTGCCCTGTATTACTCTTCACATATGAATTTTATATTGTGGCTTACTAAATCAAAAGGAAAAAAAGTATAACTGTTAGTAGAATTGTTTGAAACTCTTACCCTATTATTTGTTTTTCTTTGATACAATTAATAATTAGGGCTAAACTTTATGGATGGCCAAACACCTATGTATTTACAAAGGCGATAGGAGAAATATTTTTACATCACTCAAAAGACAATCTACCCTTGGTTGTTGTCCGCCCACCCGCTGTTACTAGTACTTATAAGGAGCCATTTCCAGGTTGGATTCAAGGTTTGAGGTAATAAGCTGGCATGTACCTTAAATCTTTATTTCTTCTATGTGTGTGTGTGTGTGTCTATATATTTATCTCTTACAATTAGTATGGTCCTCTTTAGAACTAAATGTGAGTGCAAAAAAGTGTATGATGATTTTCATTTAGTATATATGGTCCTCTTTGACAAGGTGACAGCAAAACTCATATATCTGTTATTTTCGTGTGACTACAGAACGATTGATAGCATAATTGCTAGTTATGGTAAAGGAAAGTTGAAGTGCTTACTTGCTGATCCTATGTCAGTATTTGATATGGTGAGTTCAAAGTCAATCAATCCCCAAAGCCCTCCCCGACGCAAACATGCATTATACATATTACGTAGATCTGCATGCATACATGTACGTAAAATGTGTCTAAGGGTTAAGCTTATTAGCAGGGTGCCATGCACATAAATTATGTTGGGGCACTATATTAAAAGAAAATTACGAGTGTCGATATATACATCTGTCATATATATTGGTTTGTCATCTACATTTTTAGTTATAAAATAAATGAGAAAATATGACAGGTGCATGGTTAGAAAACATGAAAGACTTTTAGGAAAAACAAATATGCCATAAGAGAAATGGGTATTTATCCCAACTCTGACTGACAACATTTTCGAAGATCGACTTCGAGCTGTAGCCTTTTGTAAAAGCCTGATGACACTCGTAGTCCTTGCGCAGCGGCATGGATCGCTCTCCTAGGGTTTCGGCTCGCGAAAATCCCTGTTGGGGTTTTTTCTTTTTCTTTTTAATTTCTAATTTTTGTTTAGGGTTTTTTTTTTTTTTTTTTTTGTTTTTTTTTTTGGAGGTCGTTTAGGTTGTTAAAGCAATACAAAGTTCCATGTGGCATACTTTCATTAGTGGTGATGACATGTTAAATGAATTGTTTACCCTAAGTACATATTATAGCATTCCAAACTTCTTGTTATTATAAGGGTCATAATTTTACCAACAGGATACTCTCCTAATCTTTTTGGTTAGAATGATGGGGATCAGTAAATCGTGTCCGTTCATCATACATCGTGCGGTCATTTTTTGTCAGGTGTTGTTTGTATTTAATTTTAAATAAAAATATTTAAAATGATTTCTAACTACACGATGTACGATGAATGTATATGATTCACAGATCTCCAGAATCCTCACAAAGAGGATCCGACGAGGATCTAGATTCGTAATTTTAGTGCTTTGAGATCAACTTTTGATTACAATTATCAAAAGTTAAAATTTTAGATAAAATTCTATACATGCCCAAAATTTTGGTTAATTTTCCAAGGATGAAGGAGGGGAAAGGTTTGGTAAGGTTAGTGGGTTCATTTCTTCTTTATTTGTTTTTTTTTTTTTTTACTAACTAGTTTGCTTCTTTAATTTCTACTTTTTCTTCTTATTCTTCTTTTCGGGTTTATAATAGAAGGATATCCAAAAACAATTACAGTTTGTTCGTAGCATTATGTATAACTGAAGATCGAATTCTAAATTACGCAGATTCCTGTTGACATGGTGGTAAATTCAATAATTTCAGCGATAGTGGTGAATGCAAATCAATCTTCTATTCACATTTACCATGTGGGATCTTCATTTCGCAACCCTATAAAATTTTGTGATATTCAAGATATTACGTATCGATACTTCACCAAATTTCCCTGGGTGGCGAAGGACGGAAAGCCTATTAAGGTTGCGAAGTTTAGAATGCTTAGGACTATGGCTTCTTTCCGCATGTACATGCAAATTCGCTTCAAGATACCTCTGCAGGTTTGTTCAGCCTATTCCTTGCTAGTAATAAAACTAAAAACATGGACTATAAATTACTTAATGTTCCTTTAATAGTATGTTTCCTTATTCTTGATATCGCACGTGCTTGTTTCTTCTCTTTTTATTGTTTTCCTCTCATATATTCTTCTTTGCATCTTTGAAGGGATTAAAGTTCGTAAATAAGGCATCATGCCGATATTTCAAGGATATATATGCTAATTACAGTCGAAAACTCAAATTGGTAACGCGCATGGTAGAGCTGTACAAACCCTATGTGTTATTCAAGGGCATGTACGTCTGCTTTATTTGGTGATTAGACGAAGTTTTATGGTTAATTGTAATTATGCATAAATCTTATGATAACGATTAACATGTTTTCCCTGGTAGATTTGATGACACCAATTCGGAGGAGCTGCGAAGGGTGACAAATGAGAGTTACATAGACGCAAAAGAATTTAATTTTGATCCCAGGTGCATTGATTGGGAAGACTACATTATGAATGCTCACACTCCTGGCCTCGAAAAGCATGTTATCGTCAAATGATAACCTGAAGAATCGATGCATTGCCATTGCAATAAAAGTGTACCTTTAGGAATGTGTCAAGTTTAGATCTTAGCTACATTGGTAGTGATCAAATAATTCCACACTAGTGTTGAAGAAACTATATCAACGTTTTAAGTCATTAGGCTGCGAATAATTTATGGATGGTGATGAAATAATTCAACTGTAGTGTTAAATGAATTATTTTTCAAGAGTGATTGCATTAAATTTACATTTGCATTGGTGTTTGAATTAAATTTCCGCACCACCGCAGATGAAGTGCTAGAACGGTCACCTACACTAGAGAACAAACAATCGTGAAATTCCTAAAGTATCAGTGTGGTACCGGCCAAAAGTTCTCTATAGCCAAGTTAGTATTGTTAGAATTTGATGGTGTATATGTATGTTTGTAATTTGTATATTTGAACAAGAACAAAATTGTACCAGAGTTGAATGATAAAGAGGAAGAATATAGACTGCAATTCAAAAGAATGTTACTCTGCAAATCTTATTCATTCAGTGTGTAAGAGAGAAAGACTAAAACCCTTATGACCTCAGCTATCGTTAGGTTACATAGTTGAGGGAGGATTCTCTTTTACATCACGAAATCCTAACCATCCATCCTACAACTTATAAGCTTAAGATACATAGCTCTTCTTAGACCTATAAGTCATAACAAACAAATTAAATTAAAAATATCCACCTGGCAATATGAGCACAAAGCCGATTTTAACATTATAATTGATTTAGTAATACAAAAAATTAGATCACCAATTTATAATTCAAACAAAAAATTAGGTCACCAATATATAGATCAACACTCCCCTTTAAATTAGGGTTATTATACAAAATGGTCCCTGAGATTTGCATGATCAATAGAAATGGTCCCTGAGATTGAAAATCAATAGAAATGGTTCCTGAGATTTTCCACCATCCATGATTTTGGTCATTCCGTTAAAAACGATTTTGGGCAATTTTCAAAGCTTTGTAACTCAATCGTTTCTTAACCAAATTCGACCCATAATATATCAAAATGAAGATAAGAAAGTGTAGAACAAGATTATACCTATTTGGAAGTCCAATGATTGCCGAAGATGGCCGGAAAATAGCCTGAAAGGTGACTGGTCCGCGGGAAAACTGGAAAACTCGCCGGAAACTGGGTAAACTTTAAACGTTCATAACTTCTTCAATACTCAACGAAATCGAGTGATTCAAAAATGAAAATAATACTTCTTGACGAGATGAATACAATGGTATCTTTTTTGAAGGCTAACTCGCCATAGTTTGGTAGGACAACGGCTCGAAAGTGGCTAACCATTTTCGAGTTAGCCACTTTCAAGTAGTTTTCTGATCAAACCATGGCGAGTTAGCAGTAAAGAAAGATACCATTCTCTTCGTCTCGTTGAGAAGTATAATTTTTTTTTGAATAACTCAATTTTGTTGAGTATTGAAGAAGTTATGAACGTTTAAAGTTTACCCAGTTTCCGGCGAGTTTTCCAGTTTTCCCGCTGACCAGTCACCTTTCAGGCTATTTTCCGGCTATCTTCGGCAATCATTGGGCTTCCAAATAGTTATAATCTTGTTCTACACTTTCTTATCTTCATTTTGATATATTATGGGTCGAATTTGATTAAGAATCGATTGAGTTATGAAGCTTTGAAAATTGCCGAAAGAGTTTTTAACGGAAGGACCAAAATCATGGATGGTGGACAATCTCAGGGACCATTTCTATTGATTTTCAATCTCAGAGATCATTTCTATTGATCATGCAAATCTCAAGAACCATTTTGTATAATAACCCTTTAAAATATTAACTGATTTCACCAAGCTCTCTGAGATTGTTGAATTAATCATTTGCCACTGCTTTTGTGAGTATGTATGTTATCTAACCACACCCTTTTGAATTGCTTCTTTGATGAGATGGTAGTTTCTGTTGATATGCTTTTGTTTTTCTAGTGAAATATAGGATTTTATTGGCGATGGCAATTGTGGAAGTGTGGCCATATTTCAGTGGAGTTGCGTCAATTTGAAGCTCACTAAAATTTTTCCAAAACAAACCTAAGCCAAGTGGCTTGAGCAGTTGCCTCTGATGCACTAATGTACTCTACTTTAGCTTTTGACAGAGCTACACAATGTTGCATCATAGAAGCCCTTGAGAACATTCCATTTCCAAATGAGAAAGCATACCCCGAGGCACTCCTCATGTTATCTTCTAAACAACTCCAGTCACTTTCACAATATCCAATCAACATTGCTCCTTACGGACTTACAATATACAAACATCGTTGTTGTTGGAGTGATTGATGACCGCCATAAAGGTCGTGTCACTTCCTTACGGACAAAGTAAGTGTTATAATACTCGAGTAGCAAGAGCGTAGATGAAGAAGCTGCCTTTGATGTGCACGTCTAGTAAGATGAGTTTCAGTGAAGTGCTTTTTATCTTGCGATAATCGTCATACACTTCATTGCAATCTACTGTTACAATCCTCAATAACTCCCAGGATTGCAATCTTGTTTTGACTCCATGACCTGGTTTCAAGAAGTTTTTGCAACATTCCAGTAAGGCTTTAACACAAGGGTTAGTGAGATTAGCATAATTCCTAACTTCGATATCTGACAGTAAAAATCAAGAAAAATAATCTTTAAATTTGCTGCTATAAATCATTTTGATCATTCTGAAAAAATAAAATAAAAAAAAAGCAATCTATCAATATTTTCGTTAAGTGGATGGATTGATATACCTAAAAAAGGTAGTCACGTAATCGTTCACATGACAATTTACCAAGAATATTGACATATTTTTACAAAATGACCAAAATAATTTACAGATGAATAACTCAATAACCACTTCTATCGATTTTCATCATCAAGAACCAAAGCGAAAGTTATACCAATTTCAAGAATTCTTTTGGATATAAAAAAAAATAATATATAGTCTTCTAGTAATTACAAAAACAAAAGTACAAACATATTCCTTTCTTTTTTTTTTATCGAAAATGATTTCCCTCTTTTGAGTCAAAGAAATAGCCCCATTTGTAGCATAAAAATACAAGAACAAATTGTGGCTGCACACTCTGCCCTACACTTAACAAATTTCAACGAGGGATAAGACTATGGAAAGGAATTAAAGTGAAAGTAATTAACCCATGACAGTCATCAGCATGCAACAAAACTGAAATTTCAGTTCAAGGATCAATGAAGCAAAAATGCAATTTACCAAGAACGCGATCGATGATAAGCAGCTTAGAGTGACCCCAAATTTTAGATGAATTTCAATTTGCCACACGAAACATAAATTGTTGCAACTGTCGCACCTCATGAACACAAGGCTTTAACCAACTACGTGAAGACAACTACCACGTGACCAAAAGCTAGTTGGCGATAAGACAAATTATGTATCGTCAACTGCTTGTTATGAACTAGTTATATTGATAGGTAGGTAGTTCAACTAAACTACTTGACCAACAAACAAAAAAGACTACCAAATAATTTACACGCACAACAATCACCTGCAAAAACAACTCTGGAATATGGTGTGATATATCTTCAGTTGTTTTGAGGTCTCAATTAATTGTGGCAACTAAAAAGAACCAATGTCAAGTGTCACTCATTTCTTCTGTCCTCTCTCATCATATTCTTTTGACACTGTCGCCGTGAACAAAAGCCACAAATCCCTCACTTGCTAGTGTCGTAATTGCAGTCCTCAGCTGAAATGCCAACAAAAGCATAGCCATCAGCATGCCAATTCTGTGTTTGTATTGAGAGAGAGAGAGAGAGAGAGAGAAATTTACTAACATCATTGAGGTGGAGTTCACCGCCAGAGCTCTGCTGCTTCAGCTCCTCCAGCAGCTGCAGGATATATTAAACACATCAAGATGATGTTTATAAGATAGTTATATGACTCTGGTTTGTACATCTTGTAAATAAGCACACCTCTAACAAGCGCATTGAGGGTCCCCCAAGTTGCATCTTCTCCATAATTATGTTGCGCGCTGATGATACGAGACTTTCTCGTCTCATTCTTTCACTTGCCGAAATTCCAGTGGTGATAAGATCCATGTCGATCGTTCCTTAAGAACAAAGCACAAGCAAAACATGATGTTAAGCTGTGTTTGTCTTCAGGGAAAGTATAATTAAGAAAAAGTGGACACAAATGCTGTAAATACCTGTGGAGTGATCAGTTGCCGATTGCTGCATTGCAACTTCCAGAAGCCGAAATGCCTCAATAACATCATGCTTCTCAACCTGCACGCATCAGGCCATAATTTTATTGATTTTACTCCAGATAAATATATTGTGAACTGTTAAGATACAATGCAATCTTTGCTAACCGATTCTGAGAAACGGATGCGAGCTAGAGCTTCACTAAGTCGTATCAAACTCTCAATCTGCCTGGGTGTTGCTGTTATCACCTGTCAAAATAATCAATTAATTGAACATGATATAGTCATGCCAGCTTTTCACTTTTTATTTAACCAGAAAAAACACTGATTGATGCAAGAATTGACAAATTTATTTGGAGATCTAGGTCAAATGCACCAATCAATGTATTCTGCAAATAAAGACAAAAACATTTTGCATCAAAGAAAGAGATGAAATAAAGAAATTGCAAAATGAATCTTCACTTGATAGGGAAAAATGATACATCGTATGAAAATATTGTCACAAGTGTATAACTATATATTATGTGAACATTCTTCTATAATTTCTGGACCTAGAATATATATGAAGAGTACCTTGTATTAAGATTGATGTAAATTTACCTTTTTGCTACTGCCTGGAAAATTTCCTCTCCTCCTCAACTCAACATAACCTCTTGTCAACTCTTCAGCAGCCTCATCAGATAATTGTGGGTGAATATGCTTTCGGGCATAGCCTACATATGCAGTCAACGTAGCAATGTCTAAGACATCCTGCTGTACGCTCTGCAATTGGAGACATGGAAATTTAAAGACAGACAAGATATGTGCTAAAACTAATCCTATAAATATTTACCAAAAAAA